ACGTACGTACACCTCTCCTTGATATAGTGAGCGAAATCGTAGCGTCTTGAGGAGGCGGAAGGCGGAGAGAAGAACCGCCGCCGTTATCAGCTCGCGGCGGGATTGGCCGAGCAGGGGGACGCGGGGCTCTGTCGGCGGCCAATGGCGTTCTGGTCTCGGCTTTTCAAGGATTCTGCCCCCCGAAATCCGGCGTGTCCTGTGCGCGACGTACACGCGCGCGCGAGCATCTCCTCGATGTACACGAAACTCCGACTTTTCCAACCCCATGCACACATACATCAAGGCCGCTGCCCACCGGTCGCCAGAGTTCACCATCGGCCACCGACGGTCGAATGTCCAGCTATTTCGTATATTCCACCCTCGGCCAACCCCACGACGACCTCGCTCGTCGCTCTCCATCCGGTCCGTCCTTCCCCTTTCTTACGAGCATCTCTCTCCAGGAAGCATCTCCGATTCGCGCCACAATGATTCAGCTTTTTCTCCGCTTTCTGGAATTCCGAGGAAGCTCGAATGGTTGATGATGGTGGTAAGATGTTACAAAAGAAAGAAAACGCGGCCTGTATAGCTTCCAAACACATTTCAGGATAACGCGAATAGAATTTATAAGTTTTTATAAATTTCTTAGTACACATAAACATAATTACTTGTACTCTACTTTCCTGAGAATCAATGAAGAGTCGATTCATCTTTAATGAATTTATATTTTTCACGTACTTTGTTCTCATTGCCGATATGTGAGACATATATTAACTATTAAAAAAACATTGATATTTCCTTTGAATTAACTTATTTTATCATAGATATTATTTAAATTTTAAATACATTGAGAAATTTGACGTTGAAAAGTTGACACTACTTATGATTAATATTACAGATTTAAAAGACGCTATATTATAAGATAATAATGAAAAATTATTTCGATTTATCTAATTATCGTAGACTTTCAAAAAAAATTTCTATAAAAACGTTTAATATCTGACATGCAATTTTTTACAGTAGACAAGAAAATATCAAAATTAAAATCGTTTAAGAAATTGATAAGCGAGTGGAAATATAAGAGGTGACAAAATCGCAGCTTCCACTTCAAGACACTTTCCGCCAGTTGCCACAACTGTTTCTCCACTTGCGGAAAGAATTATGAAGGCACTGCGAGTGACATCGCGGTGCCAACAACAATATATGAGATCATCTTTAAAGATACTCCCTCTTGTCTTCTAGAGTTCCCCGAACATTTTCTTCGGTTTCTTTAACCAGCTTTTTATCGGCAGCTATGGATAAATGCGAAAAAGTAAATATAGCAAAAGTATCTACGCGCGTGCGCGATATGATGATTTCTTGCAACGATTAAGCGGCACACTGAAGAAGACATACACGTCGAAACAAAAAAATTAATTCAATTTAAATGAATGTTAGTTCAACATCTTAACACTCGGAACTTCCTAAGGCGCTTCGTATTTAAAGTTTAAAAGAAATATTTTTAACCGAATTTTTTCTATATATAACATTCGCTATAAAACGCAACAATACATCCGTTGTAAAACGCAATCGAAAAAAATAACGCGGCGTCGTGCTCGTTAAAAATACATACACCGATTTTTGCGTACATTAACGTATCTCTAATATCGTATAACGCTCTAATGTATTCGCTTTGGGGTATTAGTCGGCTAAGTAACTTTCGCATCGGGTGTGTTTTTCTACATGGCGATCGCACCGTTACGGTGCGATCTGCGGCTTTTGTGTCCAATTAACGCTAAAGATCTCTCAAGACGGCACTCTCGGCGATACAGGTGAGCGATAAACGCGGGCTGTAAATAAGCGCGGTCAGCTGAGAGAGAAAGAGAGAGAAAGAAACGAGTCGCACGAAGGAAAACAAGACTACGCTATTGATAACATTATCATAAAAGCGACGTTAAATGGTCAGTAGCGATGTTACACCAACGCCACGCACCGCTGCTGGCGAACGACTCTATAAATGCGTTTACTTTGAGCCGTAAAAGCGCCGTACTTCGTCTGGCACCGTTAAACGTACATTGGCGGACACATACGTAGCACATATACACGACACACACGCACGGATGCAATGTATACTTCGGTGTCTGTGTGTGTTTGTACGATGCAGGAAGGAACGGGAACGTCGACGAAGCACCCGGCGCTTTACGGTAAAAGCCCTCTTTGAGTGATCCGTTTATTGGTTGCTAAACATCGATATATTGCTTTCGGGGTTGCGCAAAGAGCCGCGCTATGTCCTCCCCGTATACATATATACATACGTATACGGTAGGTACGTCTCTTTCTTTCCCTCTTTCGCGTGCAAACGTGTATGTATGTATGTACACACACGCGTGTCTCATATATATATATATATATATATATATATATATATATATA